CATCAAGTAGCGCGATGGTCTCAACAGCCCAAGTTCAACTCCCTGCCTGTCTTTGAACTCAACAGGAGACTGGGCTGAGCCACCAATCCTGGACTCCGGTTCCCTACATAAAAAGGCAGGGAATCGTCATCATGTCATTCACAGGGTTACTGGACTCGAAAGAGATAAGGATTATAAACGCACGTTGCTCACTTGAAGCTTCCGAGATAAGGATGCTCTTGACTGTTGGCCAACATCTTGTGCAAATGACACAGCCACATGTCCATTTCACATCCAGGTATCTACATGCATGCAAATATTGTCGGCCATATATGTTGGAATCAGACGCTTGGGGAGGGAGGAGACTCTGCCACTCTCTCAAGCTGGCCATTGAGTCGGTCAGATTTTAAGGACGACCCCTCCCCAAATTTCTAGGCCTTGCAAGCTCTCCATGATCCTGAAAGAAGCGTTCTTCTGAAATGCACAGAGCTACGACACAAAGGTCTACCAGTCAGCATCAGAGACTGTTCTCCTTTTTCCTTGGCTTGGGCTTGGGCCCCATCTGCACTATGTATTTAAAGCAATATCATACCACTTTAGACGGTCGTGGGTTTCCCCCAGAGAATCCTGATAACTGAAGTTTGTTAAGGGAGCTGAGAGTTGTTAAGGAAACCCTTACTCCCCTTGCAGAACAGCAATGCCCAGAGTCCCCTATGGAAATTGTAGCTCTGCAAGGGAAGTATAGGTGTCTCCTAAGAACCCTGGGCTCACTGGAAGGACAGATCCTGAAGCTGAGGCTCCAATACTTTGCCCACCTCATGAGAAGAGAAGACTCCCTGGAAAAGACCCTGATGTTGGGAAAGATGGAGGGCACAAGGAGAAGGGGACGACAGAGGACAAGATGGTTGGACAGTGTTCTCGAAGCTACCAGCATGAATTTGACCAAACTGTGGGAGGCAGTGGAAGACAGGAGTGCCTGGCGTGCTCTGGTCCAGGGGGTCACGAAGAGTCAGACACGACTAAACAACTAAACCACAACAAGAACACTGCCCCCCCCTTAACAAACCACATCTCCCAGATTCGTTGAGGGAAACTATGACTTACACAGAGTGTCTGTGCTATGAAAGTCAGTCTGTCTTGGCCAGCCTTGTCTACTGTCACTGGCAGAGGACATCCAAGGCCCCAGGCAGAGGTTTCTTCCTCCTCTGCCTTCTACACTTGCTCTGCTGCTGAACTATGACCACACCTTACGCTGAGTATAAAAAGAAGACTTTGCATTTGTATATATTTACATAGATCCTGCTGAGAAAATGAAATTACAGAGCAAGTTTTAGCGCCGGGGGACATTTGGATATAATGAAGAGCTCGGAGCAAGATTCTTATAGTACATCGCTGCAGAACAGAAACCCAGGACAATCCCAGAGGATGGTATGAAGGCAAATGAGGGCACCACCAACTAAGATAAGCAGAGGGCCACATCTGGCCAGTGGCTGGGTGGGAGAGCACCCAAGAGCTACACATAACCAGTGTTTGAAATTAGCGAGGCGCATTTTGCACCTGGCTATCGGCCACTTACGACCAAGTGAAGATTTCTGGGTGCCAAGATGGTGCCTGACATCTCCACCATCTGGGGTTCATTGGGTCTGGACTGCTTTCTCACACTAATACCCCATCCTGTAGAATTCTATCAGTTATGTTTCATCTGCACCATCAGAATAAATTTCAGGAACCAAAATGCCTGTTTTTCTGTGCAGCCTGAGCAGGAGCAGTGAACAATGTTCTAGTTAATCACTGTTGCTTGTCTTCACTTCCCCCCACCCCACTGCCCTGCTCCCAGTTGTGAAAAATATTCTTACGCTATGAATGGTCCGTGTCAGCATTAAGAAAAAGAGGCAGGAATTGGCCAAATATATTTGTGGGCTGTCCCTGGGTCAAGTGACTTTCCTTCTTAAAGTTCTCAAAGCTCAAACTAGCTCAAGGTAGTCATCTGAACTAGCCAGATGTTTAACTGAGAAGCAATCACAGTCAGTTCATCATTTGAAAAAGAAGACTTTGGAGCAGTCTCGCCCCAAAATGGCAACTAGACATTCTGCTTTGGCGACTGCAGCCTTGGTTTAAGGAGCCATTTGGCGCCTAGCTTATATACCTGAGTTTCTAACACTGCACAAAACACACTGCCCTGGATTCCATGATGGGAAGCAAGGCGAGCTATTGACTCATGTAAGAAAACGTAACCAACGAAGCTATTTCACAACGCCCTCTCTGCAAGAGTTTCTTCCGACAGCCTCGGCCTCCACCCAGGCTGTGCAAGGCTCCCCACATCGCAGAGCTTGTGCAAGAAGAACAAAGCTGAGCCGTCTTTCTCCCTGCTACCTCTTGCAACAAGTGCCAGTGAGCAGCAACAGTGTCACCGTGGAGTGGAGTCAGCGAGGAGGAGGAGGAGGAGGAGGAGAGGGAAACACCCCATGGGATTAAGAGTGTGCGATGCCTGCCTACGCATCTGCACGGAGACAGCTCTGGAAAATGAGTAGGCACTCAAGGCTGTTCCACAAACATAACAGGGGAACCCACCCACACCCGTTGCTAATAAAGCAGCTTTCCTTGTTCACAGCGTGTTGTACAACACACGCCCAAACCACCCATATTCCCTGCTTTAATATAGGGACAGAGCAAGGAGAGAGAGCAAAATGGGCTTCTCAGTTGCGCTGTCGCCATGAAATAAAATAAAGCTATGAAACGGCTACAGGCAGACACTCATTTTTCTTTTGACCATAAAATGAAGCACAGCCGTCACAAGACTCAAGACCGCAGACACTCATCTGAATTCTGTCTTTTGAGAGATTATTTTTTTGTGGGGGAGACCACACCCTCCCAGTTACCAGGCAAAGGGGTGGAGAAGACTCCAGATCTACTGGGGAGGGGGCTCTGTGCGTGAAAAATCGCAATGATTCCAACTGCAAGAGTAACCATAGCAACCAGATTTCCAATGCCCCCTCCCCTCTCTTTCTCTCTCTCCTGTTGCAGACACTTTCTCCTTCAAAAATCCTCAACTCGGATGAGGTTTTGTTACCGCTGGGGGGGGGGGAGACACAGCATGCAGCGCACATAGGAGAAAACAGAACTGAAATTCAACAGATACATCTATATGCACACAGGCAATTCCTGCCTCACCTAGTTGGCCACTAGGTTTTCTGACGGCCTGCCGCCCAAGCAATTGTGCAACTGAATCTGGGGAGCAGGGAAAGACCACCCAGATCCCTCAGTGGGTATGTTAAAGGTGCACCTAGTTATAATAAGGCGAAGAGCGGAAGCAAGCCTCATCTCCCTAAATCCTTTGGGGGAGAGAGAAGGGAAGGAAGATAGAGAGACCAGGTGGCAGGAACAGCCAACAGCAGTGTCTGCATCTTCCACAGGGGGAGGGGGAAAAAAACCCCTGATTAGCCCATCTTTCCCCCTGGAGAAAATAGGTTTAAATAGCTGATTATCTGGAACCCTGGCTGCTCTTTATCGAAACACAGGGAGGGCACAGATCGAGACATGTCCAGCTCCTGCCCTGAAAATGTGAAGCAACAGTATTTTTCAAAAAGGAAGAGTGCATCTGTGCATGCGTAAACATGGAAGTCTCAAATTTTTTTTCTCAATGGCATTCCAAACTCATATTTCTGAAAAGGCAGCACTGGCTCCGCCTTGCAACTTTTGTCTCCTACCTAGACATCCAATTCCTTCATCGTTAAGGATTCCAATTCCTTAGACACCGGGTATTAGCATTTCAATATTAGCGTAGTCATTAATATTAGCTGGCAGGCTTCCCATGGGGGCATCCAGCTGGTCAATATGAGGGCAGGATACTGGGCGAGATGGGCCACTGGCCTGATCCGGCGGTGGGGGGGGGGCTATTATGTTCTTAAAGGGACTGTAAGAAACATCAGAGGGGGGAGGGAGCAGCTGTCCAGGAGGCGTTCTTGCTTTTATTTTCTTTATTTTCTTTTTTGCAACCCCTTCTGCAAGTGTGCAGCTCAACACTTTAGGAAAGGTAATTGGGAAGGGGGGAAAACGGGGGAAAGGTGTTGTGATCCCGAGGTGACAACACGCGTGCAGACACACGCTCCCATACTGCGGTATTGCTAAAACCAGTGGAGACATCCACGCCTCCTTTCCCCCTGGATGGAGAAAAGCCACCCCAAGAAATCCGCAGGAATCAAAACTCTCCTCCCCAACCCGCCCCCCCCCGCTCCAGGCACCTTTGAACCCGAGGGGTGGGGTAGGGGTGCGGTGATAGCACATTTTAACACACCCCTCCCAAAAAAAGAGACAGAGAGTGAGAGAACTCGTGGAGGAGGTTTCCTACTCGACCTCTCCCTCTCTCCAACCGACACCCCACCCCACCCCGGCCGGTCCCATTGAAAGGAAAAGAAAGCCGCAGCCGAAAAGAAAGGGAGCAGCGAAGCCTCTCTCCACCCGCCCTCTCCGCATCTGCCCCTTTTGTTAGCCAAAAAAAACCACACACAGGCACAAAAACACGTACACACACACAGGCTCGCTCCTCCCGGCGCAAACTGCAGCCGGGAAGCCGCACAAACCCAGGGCGCCCCCTCCCCGGCCGCCGCCCCCCAGCTGTTCCCAGAGATGCAGAGCCTCCAGCGCCCGGAGAGATCTCCCCCTCCCAAGGAAAGGCTGGGAGTTTAAAGTTTGGCTGGTTTTGTTCCCAGCCCGTGCCGCCCCCTTGGCAGGCTTGGGCGCTTCCCTTTCCCACCCCACCCGCCCCCTGTTCGCCCGAGCGGACACCGCATCCCCATGCCGCCACCCCCCAAAATAGTCCGTTTCCTTCGGGGTCCTTCTCCCCTGAGGAAAAGGGAGAAGGAAAGCGCTGCTCCGGAGCTCACCTTCCCCACCAGCGCTTCCCCCTCCCCGGAAGGTAGCGCCGCTTCCTCCGGCCCCGTGCGTAAAAACGCAGAGCCCGGCCCGGCTCTCCAAGCGAGCGGCGCGTCCGATGAATGGCGAGAGGCGCAGGAGAGGCTTACCTGGCGCTCGCTCCATCCCGGAGGAGGCGAAGCCCGCTCCGGCTGCTTCTGATCCTTCTGTCCCCGGCTGCTTACAAAAGGAGCCCGGGAACCAGGCTCGGTCTCGCTTCCTCCTCCTCCTCCTCCTGCCGCCGCCACCAGCAACGGCAGCAGCGCCTGCCTCCCCTCGCCTTACCAGCCCGCAGGTGACATCATCCCCTTTTGGCCCGATAGGATACAATGCGAGTCTCCGGCTGTGCGTAAAGGGAGGCTCGCGCGGAGCAAGCCGCTCCTACCAACCCGCCCGCCCCCCCGCGCGCTCCCGCCTGCCTGCCGCCCCGCGCGCCGCCGGGAGATGGAGTCCGAGGACGGGATCCTTGGGCACGCGCGGCGTTCCGAGAAGGACTACGTTTCCCAGGAAGCACGGCGCGGTCTCCCTCCCTCCCTCCCTCTCCACCAAACACCAGCTGCTGCTGCTGTAGCTTGGCTGACTTTTTCCCCAAAAACCAAGACGGGGAGTGTCGTTTCGGTCAGCAAAGGAGGCGATTTGACACCAAACTGGGAGGGGTTGTCAGTGTCACGGAAGACAGGATCAGGAACCCAGATGACCCGAACAGCTTGGAGACCTGGGTCCAAGCTAACAAAATGAATTTCGGACCACAGTTGGAATACTGTGTCCAACAGGGCTTCTTCTTTTCTAGAAAAGGGGATGCCGGAACTTGTTGACCTTTTATTAGGGGGAGCACCCAATCAGAGTTGTTTAGATTTTTTTAGCTGCAGGGGGAAAATAAAAACTTTGGCCACTGACCAAACTTTGGCCACTGTGCCGCCCCACAGCTGCAATCGCCCTGCTGCCCCCACCTCCACTGCGCAGCCCCAAGCGCCCTGCTGCTCAAAGGGGACGGCACCACAACACCCCCCCAGCCATGCTGGGTGGCTTCCAGCAAAATATTAAAAAGTAATAAAATGTCAGACATTAAAAACTTCCCTGAACAGGGCTGCCTTCATATGATTTCTAAGTGTTACGTAATTCTTGATGTCCCTGACATTTGAAAGGAGGGAATTCCACAAGGCGGGTGCCACTACCAAGAAGGCCCTCTGCCTGGTTCCCTGTAACTTTACTTCTCGCAGTGAGGGAACCGCCAGAAGACCCTCAGAGCTGGACCTCAGTGTCCGGGCAGAACGATGGGGGTGGAGATGCTCCTTCAGGTATACTGGGCCGAGGCCATTTATTTCCTTGACATCTGATGGGAGGGCCTTCCACAGGGCAGGTGCCACCACCGAGAAGGCCCTCTGCCTGGTTCCCCGTAACTTTACTTCTCGCAATACAGGAATCTCCAGAAGGCCCTCGGAGCTGGACCTCAGTGTCCGGGCAGAACGATGGGGGGTGGAGATGCTCCTTCAGGTATACAGAGCCAAAGTTATTTAGGGCTTTAAAGGTCAGCTTTGAACTGTGCTTGGAAACGTACTGGGAACAAGCAAAGGAAAAGGTAGGTGAAATTATGAATATGCATAAATAGATCAGTTGTTGCAACACGAGACTCTTAATCTCAGGGTTGTGGGTTCCAACCCCTCATTGGACAAAATACTCTGAATCCCGCCGCAGGAGGTTGGACTAGATGACCCTTGGGGGTCCCTTCCAACTCTACAATTCCACGATTCTACAACTAAGGGTTGAACTGCCCCTTTTTTATTTTGCAAAAATCCACAGTCCCTTTGCTGTAACTATCCAAAATGTCACAAAACTGGGAACGTGCTTTAGATTTCCATCAGGCAGGCTGAATGGATGTTTGGTGTGGTGTGTATATCAGAGAGAGAGAGAGAGAGAGAGAATTTGGTTTGGTATTAAAGCCTTCCATGCCTGCAAATGAGTGGCTGGGGAAACTCAGCCAGATGGGCGGGGTAGAAATAATATATTATTATTATTATTATTATTATTATTATTATTATTATTCACTGGTCAAAAAATTCATTTATGTTGTATAGTTTTAGAAGACACATGGCAGTGGAGATTGTGTCTCTCTGTGTGAAAAGCACCTGAATTTTAGAAATCACCAGGACCCTACACTCCATTTGCTTTCAGTGGATAGAGGGGGTGGATTTTACTATGCATCCACTCTAGTAGTAGGGACGGCTTATAAAAGAAAAGCCCTTTCTCACTCCAGTTCTCCTAGTCTATTGCATAATTGGGCAGGGAGGACGGAGTGGAGAATCGAGGACGACAACAACAATGTAAAACTTGGGGTTAGATCAAACTATGGTGCACAGTTCACTAGGCTAATCGGGCAAAATAACAGGGCCATTCACTAGAAATAACACAGTGAAACCCACAGCCTTTGCAGTTTCTCATGTCAGGGAGACAGGCCTGTCAGCTGTTGTAGTAATAACTGCATTCTAAATCACGCAAGCAGCGGGGTGTTCTCATTTTCCTCTTAATTGCGGAAAACTTCGCTCGAATTAGCATCTCTTTCTTGCTGTGGAAAATGAGTCTAAAGGGGGCGTCCACCTCCCAAACCAACACCACTGCTCTCTGCTGCAAAGACATGCTAGAGTTTTAAAATCTGGGTCCTGCCGCAAGAGTCTTTGACTATTAAAAGCACTCTTTAAAAAAGTGGAACAAAAATATGATGCATTTTCCCGTATGTCTAGAGATGAGATAAATTACAAGAATCACAATGTGCCCTTTATCACAGAATCACAGAGTCAGAAGAGACCCTTATATACTGATATATCTCCCAGCTCTACCTCTGGGAGGAACACAGAGAGAATAAATGCCATGGTGCATCTGCAGCAGCCCAACAGGATGCCTTCATCTGCCCCAGCTGCCACAAAACATGTCTCTCCTGTATTGGTCTCTACGGCCACAGAAGGAGCTGTGACTCTCCAACACCCTGAAGGTGCACCATTCCATTATCTCCCGAGACAGATGGATGCCAATCAATGTAGGTACAAGCTGAGACCTTTCCTATAGCCCTGGCCATGAGAGGAATAGTTGTCAACTTGGTGATTTAAGTGTTCCTAGTCAGCTTCCTTAACCTGCAATGTTCCCCGTCTGTCGCTCTGCATTTTGCAAATTGCTCTTTCCCCGTGCGTTTTGCTTAAGTCAGCACCCTTTTCCCTCCTCCTTTCTCCTAACGCCCCATCCCAAGCGACTGGAGTGCAACGTCTGCTGTAACAACCTATTTAGATAAGATAAGGCTGTGTGGACGGGCACTTCATCCATGCAGGGAAATTAATGACGTATCTTGAAAGCAAACCAAGCTCTGAAGATCAAAGCAACTGTCTGCAGCTTCAGTCTGTGCCAAGGCGAGGCTTTGGGATGACCCTAAAGCCCTTGCCAACAACTTATTCTATTCTTGGGGCATCTGAAAGCTTCATTAATGTGTGACCCCGAAATTCTGGATTCCCCCCAAACTGATGCCAAAGTTTAGTACCTGTTTTGTGCCACAAAGCCCAAGTTTTGTGCCACTTTCCCCCAAACCAAGTAACTGACACAGCAAATCAGGGTCACAAGTTGGCACTAAACTTTGGCATCAGTTTGGGGGGCGATCTGGAATTTTGGGGTCACATTAATGAAGCTGCATCAGCAGCAGTAGTAGGAGGAGCAGATTGCTGTGACGGAACTAAGCAGAGACACTCAGGTTGCTGGAGGAAGCCATGGAGGGAAACACTAAGGAAACTAAGAAGTCTACAGAAGGAGCACCTCCCTTCCTGCAGCTTCTTGAGAGAGCAGAATTACCGGTAACTGTTTTCCCCAATGAGCTTATTGTCTAAGTTGGCAGGGCAAGTCTGCACACGGCTACCCAAGGTGGACAGCTGTCAAGTTCCATGACTGCCCTCATTGTTCCTTCCTTGCACACTTTTGCCTCTAGATCAGCAATGGGACAGGCTGTGTCCTCCAGAAGGCTGGATTTGACCCAGGGGTGCCAGCTGTTGATCCACCAACGCCACCTTCTTGACTGTGTACTGGATTTCCAACATCCTCGGCAAGAACGTCATTGGCCAGCCTTTCCAATATGGATCCCAGTCTTTCTTCTTCTTCCCAGCACCCCTTGCTGGAAAGCTCCCTTTTCCTGTCCCCTCAAACACACAACCCATCATCTTGCTAACATCTCACTCCCCAGGCTAAAGGAGTCCTCTCCCCGTGGCCCATCAACACCTTTTGTCATGTTAACATATTTGCTCTTCACTAAGTCAGCCAGGACAAGTCACCTAGACAGCATCTTAAAAAGCAGAGACATCACCTTGCCAACAAAGGTCCCTCTAGTTAAAGCTATGGTTTTCCCAGTAGTGATGTATGGAAGTGAGAGCTGGACCAGAAAGAAGGCTGATCGCCGAAGAATTGATGCTTTTGAATTATGGTGCTGGAGGAGACTCTTGAGAGTCCCATGGACTGCAAGAAGATCAAACCTCTCCATTCTGAAGGAAATCAGCCCTGAGTGCTCACTGGAAGGACAGAAAAAGATGTTTAAAATAATGCTTGTAAAAAAAACAGAAGCTTTCCTTTTGGGAATTATAGGGACAGAATTACCCAAACTGTATAGAAATTTATTTATGTATGCGACTACAGCGGCAAGAATGTTACTTGCCCCCAAATGGAAAGAATGAGAAGTCCCAACAAAAGAAGAATGGATTCAAAAACATATGGACTATGCAGAAATGGCAAAACTTACCAGAAAAATAGGAAATCAAAGATGACAAACTGCTTATAAAAGAATGGAATTGGTTTATGGAATATTTACAAGCAAATAGTAAACAGATAAGAATATTGGCATGATTATTAGAACAACCTGCAGTTTCATAAGAGTATATATGTAAAGTAGATGAATAAATGAGCAAATTAAGTTACTTTGGATATGCAGAAAATATTAAAAATAAGTTTAAGGAACCGCAGAAAGAGGGGGAAGGAAATCAAGTTTTGAAATGTTAAAATTATTGTAAAATTATTGAAATGTATAAAACTGAAAATCATTTTTCATATGTATGAGAGAGAAACATCTGCAGGGCCACAGATTCCCCACCCTTTTATTACAGAGGCTATTGCAGTGCTCTTCCTTAGCCCCAGTTAGGTGGCAGAACGCAGGGTGAATTGCCGCCTGCTACCCCTCTACTCAAGGGATGCAGGTGGCACTGTGGGTTAAACCACAGAGCCTCGGACTTGCCGATCAGAAGGTCGGCGGTTCAAATCCCCACGACAAGGTGAGCTCCCGTTGCTTGGTCCCTGCTCCTGACAACCTAGCAGTTCGAAAGCACGCCAAAGTGCAAGTAGATAAATAGGTACCGCTCTGGCGGGAAGGTAAA